AAAATACAAGTTAGATTTTTTTGGGACACCTTTTAGAACTCTAATTTTACAAAATGCTCTAAACTAACCTACATACGCTCACAAAATTTCATTTCAATACAAACTGTCGTTCACCGTGGAGTCTGCGCGTCGTATAAGAGGCGCCACCCTGTATATAAATCTGAGAGAAGATTTTATTAAATATACACAGGCCTTATGAACAGAGTATTACCATACACACATATACGTAATAACAAATTTTATCCCATTAAAATTGATTGTTGCCAAAATAATTAATGAATCCACGGCTCCGCCCTTTTGGTGTTACATTTCCCAGGCAGCGGCGTCGGAAAAAAACGATTTAAATGTTTCAATTTTTAATTTCCCCCGGTCATACATTAAATAAAAAATCTAGAAAAACACGAAAATATGCAGTTTTAGATAGAATTTCGCACTGGTTGGACTGGAAAGTGCGTAAATCTTTTAAATCTAAATTGTTTCGAGAATATAAATTTGTTGTTTGGAAATAAATTGGTTGTGTCAAAAAAGCGGCGTCGCAAGGGCGAAGGATAAATCGACTGATGAAGCCGAGAGCACCTGAGCTTCTCGATGTGTTTCCGAGATACTCTGTCAAGTTTGGCAAATGCATCGGTGTACTTGAGGCGAAATTGTGATGGAATATCTACAAAGTAAGATAAAGATGTTTATCTGAAAAAGTAACTTATATCAATAAAGTATATAAAATAATGTTATAATATTACAAACAGCTTTTATATAAACATACTGTATTACCTATTAAATATTTACATATTATATTATATAATATATTTTATTAAAATTAAATATGATTAATGAAATCTGAACGTCGTGTTCGTTTGACTAATGCTATTTATGTATTAAATAAATAAATAATAACACCAGTCAGTATACAGGGTGGACCAATTTGGTTGTTTCTATAGGGTATCTAGGAAACCGTGAGAAATATTTAAATTTTGATACTGCAGTCTCGGGTTCTTTTTTTGAAAAAATTTCAATAGCGCAAACGGATCGTGGCTATCTTGATCGGTTTCGAAGCTATAGGGGGATTCTCAAATTTTGTACTTTTTGAAGATGTTCGATAGTTTGTTTATTTCAGCAACCACGGAAAAATGAATTATGCATTCTAAAGGCACTTTTCTGTGTAGAATGCAGTGGCGTAGTCAGACTTTTTTCGAAAAAAATATTTTTTGAGATATTAACTATACTTATGTTTTTTTTAAATAGAACCCCTTGTATATTTTTAAATTTTTTTGTTGAGCTTGGCATGGGCTTCTCGAAAATATATAACACTCAGAGTCAAAGGATCACAATAATTATTCGTACACTTGCCAAGTGTACTTGGCCAGACTTGTCTATACTTGCCGAGGCGCAAAAAAACGACTGCGCAAATAAGTGTACTGTTATTATAACGTTAAAACAATAACAGATTGTATAATATCAAATTTACACTAATAACTTCAATATTGGCGACATACCTAAACCGTTCTCACAGCAATAAATGGAGTGGACAAACGAAGACTACACGGGAAAAAACAGATTTTATGTCACATTTTCATAAAAATTAAGATAGCGATACAATTTTATAAACAAATGTTAACATCATTCGAGAAAAAAGAAAGCAATAACACGCTTAGTCCCAAAGATATTACAGCTTGGTTATTTTGCCATACAATGGAAAAACCAGAGTAGTCCACGCGTAAATGGCAAAAACCAGAGATGTACTTACGCATGGGCGACAAGCATGAACAAGCGATAAGCACCTACGACAAGCAATAAACACCTACTTAAATATTAATTTTCTTCCTACAACAAAAAAGTAATAGTTTAGATTTAGGTTTTATATTCGTACAACCTTTAATTGGACATCCCTGGGTTTCCCCTGTTTTGTTTTGCATTTTGACATTTTTATTTCGGTATTTCAGAATATGGCGATAATTCACAATATTAATAATTCAGAATTGGTAGTAACATGTATTTTTCTAATCATTCAACCGAAAATAACATATTTCTTTAAAAACACTAAATTGCATTTTTCTCGGCTCCAATTAAAATGGACAAAACTGGTTTTTCCCGTGTAGTCCTCAAATGATGTTGTTTTGGAATTTATGGATTTATACGAAAATGAGCCCTTCATATGAGTGGCTAAACATAAAGAACATAGAAATTGTATTGCAGTGTACAGTAAAAGAACTTAACAGAATCACTAGCAACGACAATTTCGGGACGACCGGTATCCATCGATGCGACTCTACTGTTTACTTGCCAAGGATTTAAACAATGTTTTTGCTGGCGTGCTTTAAAATGGCCACGTCGTCGTGGAAGGCGGATTCTCACGACTGGCGTACTTGACAAGTACGCCAATATTTGCGTACTTGGCAAGTATCCCCACCAGTCCCCACTTTGTACTATATTGGCAAGTGTACTTGGCAAGTACGCCAATATTTGCGTATTTGCCAAGTACCCCTACAATCATTGGCAAGTAAACAGTATAGTCGCATCGATGGATACTGGTCGTCCCGAAATTGTCGTTGCTAGTGATTCTTTTTTCTTTTTAAGTTCTTTTACTGTACACCGCAATACGATTTCTATGTTCTTTATGTTTGGCCATCCATATGAAGGGCTCATTTTCGTATAAATTCCTAAATTCCAAAACATCATTTGAAGACTACACGGGAAAACCCAGTTTTGTCCATTTTAATTGGAGCCGAGAAAAATGCAATTTAGTGTTTTTAAAGAAATATGTTATTTTCGGTTGAATAATTAGAAAAATATTTATATTACTACCAATTCTGAATTATTAATATTGTGAATTATCGCCATATTCTGAAATATTGAAATAAAAATCTAAATAGATAATCTAAAAAAAATAGTCAAAATGCAAAACAAAACAGAAGAAAACCAGAGATGTTCAATTAATTAAAGGTTGTATAAAACCTAATCTAAACTATTATTTTTTTGTTGAAAATTTATATTTAAGTAGGTTTTTATTACAATACATAAATTTATAACCATATTGATAACGAAAAAAATATTCTGTATATACGTACATAAATTAATTACGTATGTGTGTACCTTTAAGATTGTTACATAAGGATAATAGTTTTCTATCGATTGTGTCAGATGATGTTTTTGAGAGATTTGTTGATTCATCTATGTTTTTCGGTCAGTCGAGATTATTGTTGTTTATTGTAAGCTTCGGCAAGTTTCGAACGGAATAAATTTGTTTGTGTTTTTGATTTTCGACGTTTATTTCCTGTAATATCCCTTGTTTTTATAATATAATACTAATTGCAAGATGCATGCTTGTCGCCCATGCGTAAGTAAATCTCTGGTTTTTGCCATTTACGCGTGGACTACTCTGATTTTTCCTTTGTAGGGCAAAATAACCAAGCTGTAATATCTCTGGGACTAAGCGTATTATTGCTTTCTTTTTTCGAACGACGTTAACATTTGTCTATAAAGTTGTATCGCTATCTTAATTTCTATGAAAATGTGACATATCTCGTTTTTCCCGTGTAGTCTTCATTTGTCCACACTCCATTTATTGCTGTGAAAACGATTTAGGTATGTCGCCAATATTGAAGTTATTAATGTAAATTTGATATTACATAATCTATTATTGTTTTAACGTTTTAAATTATCCACAATTAACTCGAAAAACACTACGATCCGGAAATAAATCGGACATATGCTATAACAGTAACATTATTTGCGCAGTCGTTTTTTTGCCCTTCGGCCATTCTAAACAAGGCTGGCCCAGGCTGGCCAAGTATACTTGGCAAGTGTAGGATTAATGGTTTGACTCAGGCTATATTTACCGACAGAGAGTGGGGACGCGACAAGTGACCAAGGAACCCGTTCTCACGGCATGGCAAGTATATTCCAATAACAAATATTTGTCAAGTACGCCAGTCGTGAGAATCCGCCTTTAGAGTGCGCCTTAAGATAAAAATAAGTAAATTTTATTTTGATTCTTTTCTAAATAATTTCTGAATTAAATTCCATATTTAGATGTAAATTAGTATCTAGGTGTTTTTTGACTGGACCAAAGACATTTAAACGTCTGCTCCTCATTTGTTATAGTATACAATTTTCGACACTCTGTATTGGAGAACAAAACGTTAAAACCAAACCCCTCGTCATAACCTTGCGCAATTTAAATAAGAACAGCGAGCACACCCCCCATTCTAAAGGGTCCAAATTGCATGTCTTGTGTTAATATTTGTCTGCGCCGACGGCGAATCGGGGTTGGAGGAAAAACTTATGTAATTTTCTGGCAAATGCCTTGTTTTTTTCTCGGCTTGAGTTTTAGACACCCCCGGAGGAATGATTTGTGTGCAATGTGGCGGAAAAGGCATAATAATTGAGTTTTTCAGGGTTAAAAAGTGACGTCGTTTTGATTGTGTTCGCGCTTGGTGTGTCTTATTAATCAGTGTTGTGTCATGCAGATCATTGAATATAAAATATAAAGAGATTAATGTAATTTATTTTTAATATACCTATATTAAAAACGGAAGATACGTCATAGGAACCATAATGGAAAACTTTTTTGAAGTTTTGTATAAGACATATATTTGACAAATTTAATTTTCAATGTTTACGAGTATTTTGTATTATTTCTGGTTTATTTTATGATTCGTTTTATACAAAGTGTATAAATCTGGAAATACATTGTGTCAGGACTATAAAAGAAGCTTCAAATTTAATTACTTTATTTATCCACAGAATCAAATACCTCAAGTGGCAATGGGCAGGATACCTGGCAAGAAGGACGGACAACAGATGGACCATAAAAAGTACAGCACGCTAGACACAAAGAATTAAGGATCTAGAAGAAGACGAAACCTGAGATGGAACCGTGATATTAGAAAATTAGCAGGTATAACTTGGACCCGCATAGACAACAATAATGGACTCAACTACAAAGAGAGTATCTAAATATGTGAGGGAGGCTACACCACAATTGGAAATGGTTGAATAAGCTGAGAATGATGATGATGAAGCTGATGATAAAGATGATGATGAAGATGATGATGAAGATGATGATGAAGATGATGATAAAGATGATGATGAATATAAGTTAGGAATAGTAAACCAATCAATATGTTAACTAATTATATTGGTGTGTGTAAAAGATACTAGATTGTGTGATCTGCAGCATATGTTATGACTGGTAATCTTTGTTTTCTTCTTTAGATAAAGTGGCAATATAGATTTGAATGTGATTGAGTGTCATCCATATGTACTCCATTATTAATTCTTCTGATGATTTCTGATAATGTGAAGATTTTGTATAATCTTGATGTATATTCTTCTACTATTTTCAGTTTTAATGATACTTATTAGAAAATATTTTCTGTCTACCAGTTCGTTCTACATTACTTCAGTTTTTTCATGACTATTGACAATCAAACCGCAACTATTGGCAACAGAACTATTGGTAACCGGACTATTGGCAGTAAAACAAACCGTTTCAAAATTTTTTCCATACGAAAAAAGTGGTAGAGTCATCATGAGTAAGCAACACAAGGAGTTTTCTGAGGGCTTACGACAAAGAAAAATCAAAGATCTTCCTAGATTTAAGTAAGAACAATCTTCGGATTGTCACGGGGTTTTTAACAGGACACTGTCTCCTCAATGAACATCTCAGTAGATTGAAACTAAGAAGAAACGGCGAATGCAGATTCTGTGGAGAATATGGGGAAATCACTGACTGCGCCGAGACGACAACCATTCGTGCCATGAACTTTGGTAAGACTGATATTGGAGATGGAGAACTAACCTCTATAAAACCGTCCCAGATACTGGCTTTGTATGACGAGTTATAACTCAAGAAAGGGGGACACAATAGGTATGTAAGGTAGCAGTGATTAACCCCCTCCCACTCATTATTAATTAAATTCTAAATTCTACAGCAACACAGAAAGTTACAAAAGCATCTAAATAATTCCACCCATATGTAGGTAGCTCACAGACTACATATAAATATCCAGTTTATAAAATAAACAATGTATAAAAGTAACATTCTTGTTGTGATACTCGGTTTTATAAGCAGTTCCAATTTCAGGGCTCATAGAAAAACAATTTGCGCCTCTAACGGCGAGTGTCGCTGGGATCCAGAGCCGTGTCGCGGAGTCGACCTAATCCGGGACGCCAATTTCTAGAAAAAAGGCGCTTTTTGGGAAAAAAAGAGACGGAAAACTGAGAAGACGGGTCTGGAAATAGCGTCGCTCGAAGTTTGAAACGATCGAAACCTTGGAGTATAAATATGCATAGTCACTAGACTCTGTGTGGCCTTTTAACTTTATAGTTTGTTAATTGTTTAAAAAATATGAATCAAGTTTCTAATATTTGAAACATTTTATAAATAAACAAGATTTTTAAACGTATATTTAAAATACCATACATATTTTAAACTTATCTATACTAATATATAAAATCCTTAAGTGACTGACTCACTAATTAATCACGATCCTGTTCAAACCACTCAACGTAAGAAGCTCAATTTTGGCATATAGGTTGATTCTAGGATGTAGATGTTCGATAAGAAGGGATTTTTCAAAATTCCAGTTCCAAGGGGGTGAAACCACCCCTCAAATATTACAATATTTTTTATTTAAAAAACGGTCAAGTTTCCGAAAAAAACGCTTAAACACGTATATTTTATTTTGTTTTTTTACATATTTCAAGATTTTTTAAAAATGTATACAGGATGTTTCGAAAAATCTGGTCATTGATTAATCACGATCCTGCTTAAAGCGCTTGACGTAAAAAGCTGAATTTTGGAAAACGGATTGACTTTAGGGTGTTGAGGTTCGACAAGAAGGGATTTTTTAAAACTCGAACCCTAAGGGGCTGAAACCACCCCTCAAATATTAGAATATTTTTTATTTAAAAACCGGTGAGTTTTTTGGAAAAACTCTTAAACACGTATATTTTATTTTGTTGTTTTACATATTTTAAGATTTTTAAAAATTTATACAGGGTGTTTCATAAAATATTACCATTGAGTAACCACGATTCTGCTTAAACTGCTTGACGTTCAAAGCTGATTTTTGGCAAACGGATTGACTGCGGGGTGTAGAGGTTCCATAAGGAGGGGTTTCTCGAATCTCAAATTCCAAGAGGGTGAAAACGCCCCTCAAATATTACAATATTTGTTATTTAAAAAACGGTTAGTCTTTCGGGAAAACGATTGGACACGCATAATTTATTTCGTTTTTTTACATATTTTGAAGTTTTTTAAAAAATCATACAGGGTGTTCCAAAAAGTTGGGAAATTGTTTAACCACGATTCTGCTTAAACTGTTTGACGTAAAAAGCTTATTTTTGGCAAACGGATTTTTCGAAAGTCAACTTCCAACGAGATAAAACTACCCCTCAAATATTACCAAGCTCTATAATAATATCGCCATATTGTTTTTTCTCATGCTGACATAAAAGTGAGAAAATTTTATCCAGTTTGTATGTTAATGGCAATTCTTGCTTAGCTTTATCATCACCATCACAAATGATTAATTCGACGCGAACGAAGTCGAGGGTACACCATAGTTATAATATATGACGATGAAACAATTAGGTGTCTAGACATGCGATGGTCTAAGTTCCGATCCGATGCGAAAAGTTTCCGGAAAATAGCTCGACGCGCTCGAGAAAAAGTTGTAAAACTCGATTGGATATGGATGTAGGGGCCGTGATTTTCGTGTTAAAATCGGTGTTTGGTGTCGCTCGCTGCACTGACTGGTGCTGTATCGACGCGGACAAACAAATTAAATTTCCAGCTAAGACGGCACGTTCCTCTAATATTTCAGACGCAAGTGTCTATTTTATTTTATACTCGATGATTTCGACTAACGATGTTTTTTACTTTGTATTTTTACAAGGTTTTAGTTTTAATTAATTACAGCATGATACTCACGAAGAATTAAGAGACCTAGAGGAAAACCAAACCTGAGATGGGAATATGATATTAGGAAATTAGCAGGGATAACATGGGCCTGCATACACAACAGAAAACAATGCGCCCAACTAGAAAGAGATTATCTAAATATATGAGTCTCCAAAAAATCCGGTATGGGTATTTTGCCACTGCAAGAAAAAATAATAGAGCAGATACGGTAAAAGACCCAGGTAATAGGTGTCATCAAGATTTTTTTGGAGAGATGAATCCGTCACATAGGTATAGACATTTTTTATAATTGGAAATGGTTGAATAAGCTCTTTTAAGCATTTTATTAAAATTAATGAAGGTTAAAATTAATAAGGTTAAATATACCCTATTCTTTTTATGTGGAACAATTAACTAATTATTAATACCCGATATTTTATATAATAACATACTAAACATGAAGATTTATGCGCTTCAATTGGATTTAATTTGACACGAACACGCAGAAAAGTGTTCCAGCCATAGGTCGAGTTTAAAGACATTACAAATCAGTCAAGCTGGACACACCTACGCAGTTTTATTAACCCCAGCTATCGCTCCAATCGCAATTAGGCAAAACAAGAAACTAGAAGTCGTAAAATAGCGGGAAAATGGTATGCTGTTTATTAATTAGCATACGTTTTCCAATAAATTAGCTACAGTTTACCAGAATGACCCATTTTTGGTGAAATTAGGAGTTGTTCACATCAACGATAAGTAAAAGCATTGTTCTTGCAAAACCTACCACAAAACTTTAAATGTTTAATATGAAAAATATGATTTTTGTTATTGTTTATTAAAATGAATACATACTGTTAATATATTTTTAAAATTTAAATCTATTTCTATCTATTTGAAAAGTTCAATCAGATAACTAAGATACAGGAGGTGTCTAAAATTGCAACAGTTGTTTAGTACATCTTAGGTTTCACAAAGAAGTATTCTAAATTCATAAAAGCAAGGTTCCAAAGGTTCCCTCTTTGCTAATAAACCAAAAAACAATTCCAAACAAAATGGGAAACTATGGTTCATATCAAATAAACTTTTAGGCACATGATTAAGCTTGACCGGCACAGCGTTGCCAGCTTTCAAATATTTTCTTTTAATCCCCAAAATATTTTAGGAAAAAAAAATAATTATAAATATATAAACAGTTATTATTAACATCAATAAAACTCACCTTCTTAACAGCATTTAAGATACATAAAGGGCCATTACTATCATTTTTCCCGTTCAAAATATTATAATAAGATTGCCATGAGTCTTTTAGAACGGCTATTAAGCTATCTTGTACCACTTTGCACTAAAAGAGGTTCTAAAAAGAACAATGTTAGACTGCAAGGTCTGCTAGTAAAAATGTTTAATCTTAAAGTATCACAACACAATTTATTTAAACCAAAAACTCGCAATACAAAATTAAAGTGTCAAAACGAATGACAATGCCAGGAAATAAATAAATAAATAAATATGACAATTTGACATTTTTTACAGCAGAGCTACCACCTGAATAGCCAGCGGATAATTTAAATTCCAGTTAGTCAGCCCGGCGCCGAATATTTCCATGGTTGGCAACAATGAATTTAAAAATCGCGCCCTCGATTACGTAACTAAAAGTTCAATTGGTATCGCTTATATGTACATACCTTGTACATACACTCAGTTTCTCTAGTGCAGTTTTTATTTGACATTTCCAGATAATTACAGAGCTTTTTCAAGTTAATGTTTATTTGTTACCATTTTGTATAACATATTTAAATTATTTGCGAAATGTAATAAATTCTAGTATCAAACACTATTTTCTTTATATTCGTAAAGATTATATTTTCGTTATTTGATATATTAAATCTTTGTCATATTAAAATAATTTCTTCTCTCAAGAGATAAAAATAAATGTCTTTTTTGTGTACCTGCTTAACATAATTCAAAGAAAATCATCGTAATAAAATTCCAGCATTCAAAAATCAATTATGTCCCTTTCTTTTATCCTTAAGTATAATTCTTGATGTCATTGTTGCTCATTTAAAATTCTTTTGTCGCCATTTCCCTCTGTTTGAGTGGAGATTTCTTTGCATCTCGGGCTTTATTTACAAAATTCCTTCGGTTACAACTTACGGGAGATGTTTATTTGCTATCTTTGAAGCCTCGCTCCGGTCGGCACGCCAAAATTATTTGCAAAATCGTTA